TCACCTTGCCCAGGACAGATTAGAATACAATGATCTATGAACACTCCAGTTTAAGGATGCAACACTGAATGCTGTAACCTTGAATCAATGGAATGTGAGGTATATCGATACCGTCCAGGTCCCAGTTGGAAGATACACCCAACCTGCCACGGCAGTGATGGAGCAACCTGTGACATTGGTTCCCTGAATCTCTCCAAGAACCCTTGAAATGACAACAAGCAGAAGATATCTGGTAGTGGTCAAGACAGAGAAAAACTGACCAATTCAGAGACACAGTTTGTAAACCACTTTACCACCTTTTTAGCTTGCTTACTCATTTAGACTTTGGAGGAAATAAATGCTGGAATTTATAAATGTTTAACTATGTGGTTGTGTGGTTTCTGGAGTGCATACTGCTACTCAAAGAAATGGATGTTTGCTGTGACCCAAGTGAAATAGAAATTGAAACTAAAATTGGAAATTCAATTTCAACTAAGGGCATATTCTGTAATTCCCATTTTGGATGCGGCCAAGGTGTATAATGGAAAAAACAGCAATCTTTCAGATGTGGCGCCAGGTGTCACAGAGAACAAAGGAATAAGAAGCTTTTCCCAGAGACCAGAGTAAGACTCTAATCAAAAAAACCCTCTAACCCCCAGTGTAGGAGGTCTTGGCCGCACCCGTTCAGTGTGATTTCAGAATTACTGGGCTCAGTGACTGCCAGGTATCCTCCCATCCTTCCCCTTCTAAACGGGAGTGTTTGTTGTGGTTACCCTGTCCCTCTCTTACTGTTACATGTTGGGTATGTTGGCAGATGGGTTGCAAATTATTTGCATTTTAATAACATCTTTAGGACAGAGGATCACATCTGGATAAGACAACTCCTTAAAACCTAGAGATCTGAAACTTGGAGCTAGATGTAGTGAATAAATTAATCTTTGGAGATGGGTTGAGTATGTTCTATGTGTGTTAAGACATTTTTGGTAACCACAAGGGTAGACTGTTGTATAAATATTGACTGCTCATCAAATATCCCTGTGCTTGTACACATTTCCCAGCTCCCTTTTATAAGGGCAGGGCCATGTGACTTGTTCTGGCCAATGGGCTGTGAGCAGAAAAGATGTGTGTTACTTTCAAGCAGGTCTAAGTTCTCCATGCACTGTCCTTCCCTGCTGTGCCAATTCCTCACCTGGCCCTCAGGTGACTAGATGGAACACAGCTCCTATTCGCCCCAGCCCCCAAACAAGTATAAACAAGGAAGAAGACACTGCTGTGGGAAGCCACTGGCAGTGCAGAGTTAATTTGTTCTTTCAGCATTACGTAGCCTATCCTGACTAATACAAACTCTAAAACTTCAACACTGGCATGCATGTTAGATAGTAAAAATATCAGTGACAATCTCTTATAATAATAAATTGAGGGCTTCCCTGGTGGCGCAGTGGTTAAGTATCTGCCTGCCAATGCAGGAGACATGGGTTCGAGCCCTGGTCTGGGAAGATCCCACATGCCGCGGAGCAATGAAGCCCGTGCGCCACAACTACTGAGCCTGCGCTCTAGAGCCTTCGAGCCACAACTACTGAAGCCTGTGTGCCTAGAGCCCGTGCTCTGCAACAAGAGAAGCCACCGCAGTGAGATGCCCGCGCACCAAAACGAAGAGTAGCCCCCACTCGCCGCAACTAGAGAAAACCCGTGTGCTGTGACGGAGACCCAGTGAGGCCATAAATAAATAAATAAATTTATAAAAATAAATAAATAAATAAATAAATAAATAAATAATACATTGAGACGTACATTACAAAACATACATAAGGAGAATGAATTATCCTTATGGCTAAGTAAAATATTTTTACCTTTGCAATTTGACCTTAGTCTTTATACATTACCCAGTCCTTAAACATCCAATTGTCTAGAAATGTGCTATTTTACCATAGCACGTTTTGTCTAGAAATGTGCTATTTTACTATTGTAATATCATCCTAACATCCCTCTTATAAATATCAAGATTTCTCTGGGTATTATCCCATCTGCCTGGACTCTTAGACTTTAGTGCACTCCCACATGGATACAACCTTCATCGGTCACTAGCCAACCACAGAAAGCACCTTCCCATTAACCGAACCTAGACCACAGCAAATCCAACAATAACAGGGTCCTTTAAGGCAGTACGGAAATGAGTTAACTGACTTAGGAATGTCAGGCACGAGGTCAGGGACCAGGAAAGGTGCTTGTGAGCAGATGAGCAGACTACACTTGAACCCTTGGCATTGGCTACTTATACACAAATGGGATATGGAGGAACCCTGCAAACAAATACGTAGGCGGCTGAGAAATACAGGAAGCTGAAATGGAGGGTAAGTATAGCGGGCCAAGTATCAGAACAATTTCAATCAGGGTGAGGAAAGAAAAGAAAACCATCACAGAAGCCTCTGGTTAACAGTTATCAAGCAAAGGCTCTGAGCAAAGATAATCTGGATCCTGGAAACAAAAAGATCCAACACAGTGAAGACACATCTACTCGGTAAAGGGCAGTTTTTCTTACACAGAAATTTTAAGCAGCGTAGAATGGTATTATGATAAACAATACAAGGATAATATCCTTAAATACAAAGTGCAATGGTATACTTTCACTGGCACTTTGGGAAGAAGTAAATCTTGTAATATAGTGAATATATCTGTTCTAGTCATAAATAAAAGTGAGGTGTTTTAAAAACAACTATTTATTTTCACTCCGATCAGTGCAAGTAAATTTTAAAACTGATTTTTAAAACTTGCAGAATATAAGACTATATTCTGGCAGCCAGTAGCTTTCGTGGTTACTCTGCCCATCTCTGTAGGTCCTATCACTCCATCAGGCAGGAACACTCTGGGTTTATGTCTCAGCCTCATATAAGTGGGGAGAGTTTTCTTCTATAAAGATTTCTCGGGAAGGACAGTACACACACAACACACACACACATACCTGATTTTTGTTTCTACAAATACAAATAAAACTTGGCTAGGTTATCACTGATGTCATTCAAAAGTCACAACTGACAGTGGAAAAAAAAACTGAAAGAGAACAGAGGCTGAGCAAAGGTAGCCAAATTCATTTGAAACTTTGAAAAAGTCTTCTTATATCATAGGCTAATGAAACACTTATGTCTTGGTCTTGGTTTATATTTCTATTAGTGGTTATAAAATTGATGAAAGGAGGAAGAGAAGCAGAATAATTAACATTAACATCTGAGAAGAAAGGAAAGTCTACAAAGCTTTTAAAGGGATCATGATCAAGAAGTGAACAGTATTAGACTGCAAATTAATTAGAGAAAACTTTTCTCTCCTAAAAAGTTCCCATTTAGTGCTGCTTTGCAAGTCATGTCCATGATTAGTTATACTTTTGAAGATGTCCCTTTAAGCAGATATGTGATCGAAACTCAGTGGCAACCTCACGTCGTTTTGGCGTACTATACCTTTTTGGATAACTTTTTATATGAAATTCATAGCTTTATAAAATGTTTTTAAAAATATCGGTATGTGGGGGGGGTTATGTCATTCATTCATTCATTCATTTTTCTATTTCTCAAATATTTATTGAACTTCTATGACATTCAGGCATTCTTCTAGGTGACTGGGAAGCAGTCCTGAACAGAAGAGACAAATTTTCTACCACGTGGCGCTTACATTCTATTGGAGAGAGAGATAATATACAGATAAGTAAATAAACACATAATGCTGTGTCAGAGTTGGAAGAATTCTGACAATTTTAAAGGCTCTGTGAAATATATGATAAAAAGACTGCATTAAAATATTTAATGTTTCTTTTTATTAGTAAATATGAAAACTTTATAATGGGGGGTACTGTATCTGCTGTCTTGCTTTTTCTTCACTTACCATTTTGTGAGCATGTTTCTCTGTCTACAGTAGTCTTCAAAAATATGTTTTTAATAGCTGCAAATATTATAGGCTATATACAAAAATGTGATTCTTTCATTATTTTTGACAGTTTCTATGGTCCTATAAATTAAATTCATGTACATAAATCCTTATCTGCATATCTGATTATATCCCCAGGATAAGGTGCATAAAGTGGAATTATTGGGTCTAAATGTATGTATATTATGACTCAATGCATGTTGCAAAATAGATTTATAGAAAGGTTACACTTCCTCACCATTATCTCAACAACATGAGATACTAAGTAGATTTAAACCCTCAGCCAAAATCCACTATTTTAAATTACATATCTCTTTACAGGAGAGGTTGATTTTTAAAAAAAATAGGTTTATAACGCATTCACCTTTCTTTAGTGAATTCTTTGTCATGTGCTTGTCCTTTTTTTTTTTTTTCCCTTGGGCTGATAGTGTATTTCTTTTGATATATGAGATATTTTATGTATGAATCATATATTTGTTGCAGTTTTTTCCACGTGGTCATTTATATTTACACTGTTAACGACATTTTTACATTCAAAAGTATTCTTATGCACTTAAACTTATTGCCCTTTTTTCTTTATGATTGCTTCTACTCCTCTGGTGCTTAGAAAGCCTTCCCTATGCTGAAATCAGTAACCATATTTCTTATGTTCTTCTAGTTGTTTTTCTAATTTTTATTTTACTTTCTTATTTAGCTCTTTAATCTAGGTGGAATTAATTTGGTACGATGGGGCTTTAATTTGAGCCTCTTCCAAATCGTTCATTTTCTTACCACCATTTGTTAATGAAATAATCCATCCTTTCCCCTATAGGTTTGTGCTACTTTCTCATCTGTTAAATTTACACACACACACACACACACACACACACACACACACACACGAGTCTTGTTTCAGCGCTTGCATTAATCTGTTTAAAAGATTTTCTTTTTAAAATGTGTCTGTCGGAGGGTAATGGTAAGTAAATACTTTCCGTCCCAGATGTTACAAAATTACAGTAATTCTTAGTATTGTCTTGACGGAACCGAGGAAAACCAACGTTGCGGAGGCATTTAGGACCCAGGGGAAAGCCAGGCTCCATATAGAAGGACAGAGTCTCGGGCGCACACGCCTCCTACCAAAATCACAGCCCCTAAGAGCCAGGGCTCTCATTCACAGCTTTCTAGAGAAATCTGAGCCCGAACCTGCCAGAATAGGGGATCTCACCCACTCAGCTCAGCAACGAGGACACCTGCAGAAACACATTCCCAAAGCAAGGCTGGGCGGCCGTGTGAAGGTATTTGTTGCCTTTTTTCTCCCTTCTATATTTGCAGCGCCTCCCCGCCTTTCTCCGCTCTTGTGATGCCATGGCTGCGGCGTTTCAGCACTTCGGTGCGTGGACAGCTCCCATCTGCAATGCCTGCTCACTCCATCCCTCTCGCACCCCACTCTCCACCGCCTCCGTGGTCCATCCTTCCCCCCGCCCCCGGCGCCCGCTCAGCCTGCGCTCCTTACACCATCAGCCCCCCATCTCCACCATCACCGTCATGATCTCCACCATCACCAGCGTCGTAACTACAGTCAACACAACTGTGCCTTGTCACTTAGACAAAGCCGCAGGTCCGCAGGATAGAGGAAAAGAGCCCAAGTTTTCAGGCATAGGAAGGAAAGTTCAGGTGGACTACACCCCTGAAAACAAAGAGAGACGCCTGCTTGAGAGTACGGGAAAGTGAAGACAGTAGAGAGAGACCCTGGGCAGGGGGACAGATGGGGCACTTGCCAGACGCCAGCAGTTAGCCAGCTGCCTTTCAGCAGATTAGGGACTGTTTAGTTCAGGAAATTAACATGGCCTGCGGTATAGTATTATTCCGGTGAAATAGCTGTATAAACTCAATCCATGTTTCTGGTTTTCCAGTGGAGAAGCACCAGGAAGCGGCGGCGGGGGGGGGG